TTGTACGTAAATTGGTAAATTTTGACAATAAATTAAACGAATATAATTGACATCTTGAAAGTACGATTCACTTGTTTAAAATACAGAAAGTGCACCATTCATTTTTCGCATTTTTCTCTATATTTTGTTTTCATTTTTACGGTTAATTAAGTATTTTCATCATAAAATAGGACAATTTTTGAAAATATAATTGTACAAACAATTAATGCATGATGTAAAAACATTTCATACGTATTTGCTTAAGTATATACTTAGGTGTATAATTGGAGCGGTATATTAATAAGAAGCATTTAAAAAAAATTATTACAGTAGTGTTTAGTTACTTCCATACAACATGGGTATCTTCACTATTTGCTAACATCATGGTTAATAATCTTCACTATCTTCATCTTTTCAGTGAGATATCTGTTGGAAATGAAGTATTATATATGTATAAATATATCAAACCTTTGGCATATTTCTTTCTGTTAAAATTGAAATGTAAATGTAAATCGTTTTTGTGGATGTATTCTCATAACAAGATTTTTAATTTTTGATTACATAATAATACAATTTCTATGCAGATCTGAATACTGATATTTTTATTGTACGATATTAAAAATTGGGTTTCTTATTTGCAAAAGCAGTAAGGAGATTTTTTATGATTATGTACCTATATGTATACGTAAATGTTTTTTAATAATAAATAAACTCTTACATTTTTAGAAAAAAATATAGTACTTGACAACCCCTGGCCCTGTAAAAAAAGGGGGTAATATCCTTTTATTTATTTCTCTACATTATGATGTTATCATCGTATATTTTTTCAGCAGCATTGGAATAGAAAAGAAATTCACCTTTATCAACACCTGGAAATTCAGTTAATTATTCTAAGTACATCATTAATAAACATATAACTTTCTCCTAATAGGTAACCCTTTTGAAATTGTTATTATTGCATTTGAAATGTTGCATATCCTTTTCTCCTGTGTTAATATATATAATATATACAGTTGTATATAAATTAATGTGTGCATGGTAAGAAGTCTTACAAGAAGATTAAAAGAAATACCTATTTCTTTTTCCCCTTTAAATCATTTTCTGTCGTATTTAAGGTAGGACAAAACACCCGCGAATTCTATTTTAACCCATTTCTTAAAAATTACTGGAGGAAAAAAGAATAATATTACTATATTGACAACAATGAATGATCCCTGAAAGAAAAATAATAAGTTTTGGCATATTTGCGTTATATTTTGTGAAAAAATCAGAGAATCCTATATATTGGTCACTTGGGAGCTTACATTTTGGAATGTGTTTACGCTATCTAAGTGCAATAAACAAGCATGTAACAGTCTGTTATAAAATGCAGTGCAACTTTTGTTCCATAAATAGTAGAGGGGAGATATTTGGACACATATATAAGGAGTCTCTATTCTTCATGTACTACAAAGGTCAAGGTCATATCACGAGGTCAAAGGTAAAATATTGTGACGTCATCTACTGAATCTTTCAGTTTTTTTTTTTTTTTGCCATTGAATTTTTTTTAATCGCCAAAATATCTTAAACCACTGGTTCAATTTTCTTTATTTTTACACATTTTATTCTAGGACCCATTTGAATCATTCTGTTGATTTTTTGTAGAAATTGAATTATACATTTTCTCTTAAGAAAACTTAAAATGTCGGATATTTACATGTAAATTTTCAGTTTCTGATACAATGTATGTTCTATTTTACTTAATATTTTACCCAAATTTTCCATTATCAATGTGACTTACTGATTTAAAGTAACAAAAAGGTTATCTTTATTGAAAGTATTACACAAATTTGCAATAGATCAATTGAAAATTCTAAAATAAGGCTCATTCTCAAGTCGAATGTCTGATTTTGCAATCTTCTTACAGGGGTCTGATAGGCCATATCTCAGACTATGTGGTCAAAAAATGAGAGATTTTGTATCGTTTCAGAAAAATTGAATTTGAGGATTGAATTTCTTTCATATCATGTATAAAGAGAGATTTTGTATCCAAGAACAAAATATTTTTTATAGAATTTTTTACAAAGTTTTTTATTTCAGAAAAATTGAATTTGAGGATAAATTTGACCTATAATACCTAATAATAATTTTATTAGAAAAAATAATTTTCACCTAAAAAACAAATAATGTTTCTTTTTAATCTATTCCATCTTCTACAATATATCCAAAAACAAAATATCAAAGTTTCAGAAAAATTGAATTTGAAAAAATTTGAAAGGCAACTCGTTTTCAAGACCATAGCAGTTTATAAGGCTTTTTCACCGTGGAATCTATAATTCACGTCAATAATAACCATTATGGTTTGTAAATATATTTGTTTGTATTAAATCACGAGAACTTGTGTTCTGCATAAGATTTATGGAATTCAAATACTAAAATGCACATGTACATCGTACCAATTTCACTCCCTTTCTATATTTATTCTTTAGACTAATTATAAAAATTTCATCAAACCTCCGGGCAAGGGCCATGCAAAGACAGTCTTCTCAATTTTTCCTTTCTGCATCACTGTACCTTTATTATGCAAGCATTTAAAACAATTATTCTTGATTAATTTTAAAAGTATAAGTCATATCTTATTGAGGAAAATCTATTATCCTTTTAAATAAACTACTTTTATTAGAACGATTGTATTGAAGTAACATAGAGGTTTACTTTGAAATAAAACGCATGGAGATAACGAACAGTATTCAAGATCAGAAGTCCGTAAAACAATACAAAATAGGAGCAAACACGGACCCCCAAAACATCAGAGGTGGGATCAGGTGCCATGGAGGAGCGAGCATCCTGGCCCTGCCAATCGGTCACACCCGCCGTGTGCTCCTTGTCATTATAGAGAAATAACGGAAAAATCTGTCATCAATTCAGTGTATAAGTAATGGCTGAACAATAAGTATAAGTATGAACTACGTCAGTCAGCATTTGACTCAATGATAAATTGCATCTGCTTACAAGGTCTTTGTATCGACCATAGAACTTACGAAATGATGACTTTGAATGGAACTGCAGATATTCTTGTTTCATCAACTTGTTTGTCAATAATTTATCTTGTTTTAGAAATTGTTCATACGTAAAAGGTATATTGCTGCATAAAATAGGGAAGTTGACGATTGAAATGTTAAAGTCATCACGTTTATCATAGAAATTGGTTGTTAGATTACCATACACGTCTTTTTCAAGTAAAATATCCAAATACGAAACAGATGTGTCAGACTCTATGGTATCTTTCATCTCAAGCTCATCGGAATATATCGTATCGACATAAGAATGGAAACTAACATCGTTAATTGACAATTGGTCGTCCATATATCTAAATGTTGAGTTGAAGGCCACAGCAAGTGTGGGCATCTTGTTGATACACTGTAAAAAATAACTAGTTAATGTCACGAAGAAAACTAGTAGATTCACTGTCCATACAATCACTACCTTAATAGTAGTTTTACCAGAAATTGGTATATTTACTAGATAAAATTAGTAAATTTAGAATTGATGAGTAACTTTCACTAGGTATCTAAGTATCTATACGACCCCCGCTCCACAACTCACTATCTTAACCAGTAAACTGAAAGTTTACTAATCACGACCAACGCTTTACGAAACACACTAGTTAAATTCACTAGGTTTTTCTTTCAGTGTAATCTTCCCCAATATTATAGCAAAAATTGGAAATTGAGGGACATTTTTTGGCGGATCTGTTTTGAGAGGACCAATAAATTCGTTAATAGTGAGTATATTTATCCAAACTCCATACTATTTATCGTTTTTGGGGACAATTTTTTTTATATGTTCAATAAATGCTGGAAAATATCCTAAACCAATTATCTTTCAATATCGTTTAGTATTCGTATATTCAGGGTAATTCAATTTTTTTTCTTTTTTGCCAAATTAAACCAAGATTATTTCCATATGAATAGTGGATTTGTGAGCTTAACAATTTATATGAAAGTCAGCCAAAGAACCAACCCACATGAAAGAATATACCGGGTATTTGCTAATAAGGTCATTTTAACGACCATTTTGAAGAAGGCTTTTGAAAATCCGGTAACATCAACTTATCAGTGAGAAGAATGTGTAGCTTTAGACATTGAACGTACTCAGAACAAGTTCTTGAGTAGCAAAAAAGTTTGAAAATTGTCTTAAACAATTGTTAATGGAATATTACTACAGGAATAAGTAAAGTTGATGATAGAAAAGGTGAAGCCATCTTGTTTTTCATGCAATTTAGTTGTTGGTTGGACTTTATCACCTTTAGTCAGTAAAACATCTAAATGTGACACACTATGTGCAATGCCAATATGATGTCTTTTATTCTAAGTTCACTGGGATTTATCTAGAAGCTTTCTGTAGAGATTTTAGAATTGGTATATTAACGTATTTACGCCATCATTTGTTTAAGAATTAGACAATTATGATTATTTGCACACATGCGAACTTTATTTGTGTCATCATGTGAGATATCTTCATGTATATGATTGTATGTTAACTTGCATTTTGACATAAATAAGTTGCATTTAGCATGTTAACTTATACACCATTACTTGAATGTTGACATATTAACTAAATCTTGTAACTTAATTTGCATACTGACTAAAGAAGTTTTATGTTCACTTTATTATCTCGCATGTTGACATTTAAAATAATATCCTTGTTGAATTCAATATTGTAACATTATTAAATTGCAACAAATGTGAGTGATTTCTTAAAACCCATACAGACTCATACAAACACACACCCTACACCCACATATTCCTACATTGTAGATACGAAAACAAAAAGAAATTCAAATCTTCTTTATTGTTAACCCAGAATTATGTAACAAAATTTTGAAAAAACCTGACGTGTGATGAATTATTTTACTTATAATTGTAAATGCACAGACATCATATACAATGCTTAATTTGATAACTTGATTAGAATACAAAAATAACGAACTGATTAATGTTGTTTTGTAACTAGATTTAAAATTCATGTTTTAAGGATATGACTGTCAAATAAATGAATTAATTAAAGTCGGTTTTTCGCAGGATAATGTTCAGGAGTGGCAACTGATAAACTTTTCAATTATTTTCTCTCAAAAATGAATTTTATCGTGTTTGGAATACTTGTTTTAACTTTTCCAACATTTTTATCTTTCCGATGGGCTAACAGATGCACCATTCATCCGAAGGGGTATGTATGTTGTTCTACTTCCCGTTTCTTCATGCCGACAATTTCCAAATGATATTATGCAACATGCACATGAATGTTTGTTGTATTTTGTACTGTTGAATAAATATTAAGTCTGTGAATGAACCTTTAGTGTGGATACTTTTCTAAGTATCTTTCACATACATTCTCCAAAATCTCACTCACAAACATCAGATTTCTGTATGCTAGACAGCTGGAAATTATGTTTGTGGAAGGCAGGAGGGTGGGAGGGTGGGTTCAGTCAGCTTCTAATACGTTTTAATTATTATTCTGGAGGTTCTATTAAAGATAAAGATAAAATATTTCTCAAATAAGAAGAGGAAAACGAGGTAACCTTCGTGATTCTTGGAATGAGGATATCTTCATAGTCTCCAAAATTTAGATATAATTCCAGGAAAACTGTACAAAGGTCAATGCCCATCTCTAACTTTTGATTCACGTCTCCTATATACAGGTGATGTTTTGAAACTTTAAGTATTATTTAATTACTGTTGGTTTATTTTCCTCATAACTGGGTGTACTAAACAATTAATTTGTCAATGTAATAAACTACTTTATTCGAAAATTACATTAACAACTGGAAGCACTTTCAGCAGTTTGCCAATTTTGAAGAAAAAAAAAATTCCAACCTTAAACTGGTGTTTGTGCTGATAAAAAAAGTAGCCTACGGCATTTCAGTAATTCACAATGTAGCCCCCCCCCCCCCCCCCGAAAAAAAATCCCTTACAAATCCTGTCAAAAGGGAAGAACAGATTAGAAATCTGAAATTAAAAAATACTCTTGAACACCAGTTAAATCCGGTCATCTCTATGGGGGTGTACTGAAACTGCTTCCTAAATTTGCATAAATTGATTATCTTCACGTCCTCGTAAGAAAGGTTTAAAATACGTATTTTAAAAATGTAAGGAAGAAGAGAGAAAACAAGAAATTCAAAGTAAATAAAATTATTATCAGAAAATTATGCTTTATTTTTCCTATTTGTATAATATTTTGAAGATTTATACCTGATGGAGAACATCGTGAATACCAAGTTCCAGACAACTGTACAGAGGGTGCCATCTACTGGAAATATCCAAAAGAGTACATCATTGTCAATTTCACATTAGAAAGCCCTGGTAACTTCTTGGTTTGCCTTAGAGAAAGCATTGGAGGCAACATGTTCAGCTTTTATGATATCACAGGAGAAATACGACTAAGCATTCCAAAAGGTTTGTATGGAATTTGATTTGAATATCCGCAAAAGAAATTTGCAAGGAAAATAAGGTTATTCTTACTTATTTTCAAACGATATCGCAAAGGATGAATTAATCTCTTTTGTTTTACAGGCACATGGCCATGCATAAACTCTCAGACTGGGAATGCCTCTGTTGAGATTCATGCTCCAGAAATGCTACCTTATTTGGGAGCTATTAAATATTCAATTCAATTCTAAAATATTTGCTTTATAAAAAGAAATGCAGACATTAAGGTGTTCTTGTAACGTATTTTGTTGTAACGTGCATTGCATTTTAAGAAATGTATATTAATTCTTTGCACCTCCTTCTTTAAGAAGTGATGGGGTTTCGAAAGAAGTTGAATGAAAGATATACATAATGAATATAGGGGAAAAACCTATTTGTATTTTGTGGTTATTTTAATTATTATATTTTTCCTTATTGATCTTATAAAGTTTCATTTATTATAATGACGTTTAAAACCTATAATTATTCTGCAATCTATAGGAAAATAATATACATCTATAAAAAGCACACAATGAAAATAATTCGAGAAAATACTAGATTGAAATGAAATTTTAAGTCTTATCTAAAAAGAAAACTGTTTCAAAATAAAACGTAAAATTAACTATTCCATGATTTTGTTCTGTTTTCCTACGCAGAAAAGAAGGAAAACTTAAGATTAATAAATTTATGTAATTGAACTTGGCGACACGAAGGTAAAAAGACCCCATGCGGAGCACCTGTAATTATACATGCAGTAGCTTAAAGAAAAAATGTGTTAGTGATCTCTTGTATATTTTTATTAAACTGGTATATTCTTTTTATTTAAAAAAAAAATGCTGTCTAATTTTATAAATTAAATATTTGTTTATTTAAACAAATTAAATACGACCAAATTCGATATAAGAGACCTATTGGCCAAACGCTCAACTGAGTCAATATGGCCTTTCAGTTCTTCATCTCATTAGCAGATACTTTCCCTTAAATATCCTTATGGAATAATTTGATCATATATTTTGGCACCATCCTTTCCCAAAGTGTCATGATATGAAAAGACTAGACTAAACACTACCTGATGATGCTTTTTTTTTATATAAATATGATCAATCATGGCGATGGTGTTCTTGAGAAGGTTCTCAAAGATTTTTTCTGTAGGTTCCTATGTTAAACTTTGATCACCAGTTGTAGATCCAGGCTTGGGGTCATGATTTTAAAAAAAAATTTAATCTACACTACCTTAAAGTGCTTTCATATGAAATTGAAAAAAATATTTTGCTCTGCTGTTCTGTAAAAGAAAATCTGTAAAGCCTTTCTTTTTCTTTTTGAAAAGCCGTGGCACGACCCTAACACCGGGGTTGCCATTTGAATAAGTTTGAATCTAAACTATGCAGCAAAGTTTTTATATAAAATTTATATTTTTGGCTCCGTTGTTTTCACATTTTTAAAAATTTCATTTATTCTTACTTCTATCTTTTTACTCAAGAATGCTCTGAGTCAAGCTTGGTGAAAAAATATCTTTTTATTGGTAGCCTGTGTATTACGTCATGAATTGCATCGATTCTCGATTATTTCTATAAAAAAGAAAGAAAGAAAGAAAGAAAATGGTATACTGTTTTCAATATTTTGCAAAGCCCAAACCTTTGATCTGAAATGATCAATTGTATAATAATATAACTGTTTCAATAGATTATAATTAATTTTTTGATCGAGGAATGGGTTCATATTTTTTAATTCTTTGCTGAAGGTACTCATACATGTATACATGATTGCCAATTAAAAAAAAATGCAATGAAAAATTTATGTAACGAAGAGCCCTTAAGCTAATGGATTTAATCATGAGAATGGCATACACAAACCTCTAACACACCAGATGTGGGTTCAGATGCCATATAGGAGTGAACATCCCCTGCCGACCGGCCACATCCGTCATGTGTCCTTGTCATGATTTGGAAAAACGGAAATATCCGTAGCTACATGTACATGTAATTCGAAATTATGACGCTACATGAAACTGTTGATATTCTTGTTTCAACAACTTTTATGTCAATCTTACCTTATTTAAGAAATCGTTCATACGTAGAGCATGCGCTTGCGTACCGAATCAACGAAGATACCCCGTATGCAGGTAATTAGAGTATATTACTATACATGTATGAGATGTTGACGATTTGTAAGTTGTCAGCAGGTGCAGTTTGAATCAGGTACTGACTGACTTTTTTCGTACTGATTGTTGGTTTATTGTTTGTGCGCTGAGCTGGCGACGAATTTTTCCGTAATTTGCAGATCATGACGAGGAGCACACGGCGGGTGTGACCGGTCGGTGGGGGATGCTCACTCCTCCATGGCACCTGATCCCACCTCTTATGTTCTGGAGGTCTGTGTTTGCTCTGCTCCTATTTTGTAATGTTTTATGGACTTTTGATCTTGAATACTGTTCGTTATCTCCATATGTTTCATTGAAATTATCACGTTTATAAGTTTGTTGCAAGGTTACCATTATCATCTTGTTAAGTAAAATATACAAATATGAAACAGATGAGGTATATTTTATCTAATGCTCACTGTTAATTATCGTGTATGAATGGATTTAACTATTGTTAATTGATATGACGTCTTCTATATACATGTATCTTAATGTCGAGTTGAAGGCTACATGTACAGCAAGTGATTTCTTATCACATGTAAACACACCTTGTATAAATTCTGCTAAATACGCATAAAACGGGTGGGTATCATTACCGCTACATTTTCGAAATTTTCATTTACCGCTACTTAGTCATTACCGCTACAAAAAGTTACATTACCGTTACATATAAAAGTTTACATTAGCGCTACATTGCTTCTTTCATTAGCCAAACACTTACATGTATGCCTGTACAGATTGATCTAAAGTACAACATATATATGCATAAGACCTGTTTCCCTTGAAATACACAATCCCACATTCTCACGCGCCCACAGATAGATACAAATGCTGGATTTGAATTACATTTTCTTGATGGGCGACTAGTTTGCAGTTTTAGGATAGGTCTGTTTCCAAGTAATTGCAAGCCTTATCAGGTCAAATTGCATAAGTTTTGCATTTTGGGATGTAAATATCTAGAATGTTAGTTAATTGTGGGACTTTGCCTTACTTAAACTTCTTAAAGACAACATTTGTTGAGGTGAGTTCTGTACTTTCTGATTACCTATGTTTTATTATAAAATGCTATCAAATTAATCTATTAAAAAATGAACTAAATGAATGAAAAAAAAAATCTTGCAGAAAGCTATAAAATAATTTTAAAATCATATTTTTTTTAGAAAAGCTTTAATATCATGCTACATAAAAAATTTACATTATGAAGTTTCGACTTTCCCTTGATTACAGCATACTGCATCACGTGCATTATACACTGTGTTAGATGGATAGTTAAAAATGATGAAAACAAGACGTGTTTGTGAAAAACTGATGACCCTGTACGTCAAGGCTTCTAAAAGGCATGTCAAGCTCCTAACACCAAGGTCAAAAGTGTTGGTACCCAAAGAAAGATCTTGTTACAAGAAATACACCTGTGATAATATAATAATATTTATACCCACTGAAAAGTCTTTTCACAATTAATACACGTGTGAAGTATGAAAGTCCTAGCTCCTATTGTTAAAAGGTTATATATGGCAAAGGTAAAAGTGTGGTATTTTTTCTAAAAGTTGGTCAAACTTCATGGTCAAGGTCAAGGGGTCAAATTTGGTGGTACCAAAAGAAAGGTCTTTTAACAAGGAATACCCCTTTGAAATATGAAAGCCATAGCCTCACTCACTCAAAACTTATCGGCAAGGTTGAAATTTTTGCCGACACACAGACAGACAGACGATCGGACCGGACAAAAACTTTACCAAAGAAAATTCGTTTACGGGAGCCTAACAATGTATGAAAGGGATAAAAGATGTCGAGGGAAAGCTCAATATTTTTAACCTTTACTCGGTACTCATTTACATTAAGCTGTGAGGAATCTTTTTTTCGATCCAACACTTATTGTTACACAGGACCTCGGTTTATACGGTCTCATCCGAGGGACCGGTCTCCACGTCCCAAAGTGGGAATCGAACCCTTGACGTAAGGATCGACTCCTTACACTACAACTCTACAGCAGACGCATTTACCACTGCGCCACGCGAACGACGACTTGGTTTTGTAGATAATTATGATAAGGTATATATGATAAGAATTTACAGGAATGTTAACAGAGAATTTGGTCAAGATGAACTCAATCGTGTTTGGAATACTCGTGCTTACACTTCCAAATGTGTTTTCCTTCCTTTTTGGAGATAGATGTACAATACTTCCACAGGGGTATGAAGATTTAATCTTTTTGATAAATGATATTATCCCGTACAGGCCACTTTACTGAGGTTAATGAGATTACATTTGTTCCATCGCTAAGTGGAATGTTTGGATATTAAGGATTCTTATCATAGTAACATTAGACATTAATAATACAGGAGGATGATTTATTTCAAAAAACTGATCTTTGAGATTATAACTTTGAAACCTGCTCTCACAAAAAGCCTTAATTTGGTGAATTCTCGTGTTATCATATCCAAAACAATTTTTAAGTTTTTGGAGTGATAGAAAGGTATTGTAAGACTCCTGTTGATGAAGTCAACAATCAATGATGAGTAAATATTGTAAAAATAAACCATAATATACTAGCAACGAGGGCATTGTGGAACATTGTAATATTCGATCTTAACATTTTTTATTGAATAATTTTACATTTGTATTGTGAACATTGTTCGACAAGACTGTTGTTTTTAAAATAGTGTTTTGTTTGAAGATTTATACCTGATGGAGAACATCGTGAATACCAAGCTCCAGATGGGTGTAAAAATGGCACCATAGACTGGAACTACCCAAAGGAGTACATCATAGTGAAGTTTAAGAGAGAAAGTCATGACAAGTTTTCTGTCTGCATTGGCGAAAATATAGGTGGTGACATGTTCACTTTTTATTATATAACAGGGCAAGGACGACGTGCTATTCCATCAGGTATGAACTGAATCTAATCTTAAATCGTCTTTTTAGTTTCAATTTATCTCGTGTATTTTCAAAGCTAAAACCAACTGCTTGAAAATGAAATTATGTAAAATATGCATATTTACTCCAACTTGGTACTTGTGTACTTACTGTATTTCATGCATATACCGGGTATTAACTCCTTTTCGCATTAAATCTTAGCAAAATGTTCTGTTACAGGCACCTGGCCATGTATCAATTCTCAACATGGGAGTGTTTCAATTGAAATCCATGCTCCAGAAATGCAAACATATATGGGAGCAGTTGACTATTCAATTCAGATGTAGCATTTTGGCTGAATCTTTGCATACTACTGTCTGACTATTGATTTAATATCTGCCAAATTTTGGTTTCTTTTTACCTATGAAGATAGATTGTCAATGTCGGTAAATTATGATCTAGCCTTTGAATAAAAATGATTTTTTATAGCATTTGTTTGATCCTTCATTTGGATATAATTCAATATATTGTGTACAATACTGGCAATGATGAAACAATTTGTAAGCTGGGAAATATTAATTGTAATATAAGTTGGTGGGTTAAGGTAGATGGAATTAAGTCCATCTATATCAAACTTTTTAGTTTTCAAAGGAATATCTCACAAGGAATGCACCTGTGAAATATGAAACCCCTAGCGTTAACTGTTCAAAAGTTATGATCAAGGTTTAAGTTTTATAAACCTAAGGTCAATGTCAAAAGGTCTAATATTTTTAACCCAAAGAAAAGTCTTGTCACTGTGAATACACATGTTAAGTATGAACGCCTTAGCACCAACTATTCAAAAGTTATAACTATGGCTAATGCAAGGAATTTTAAGGTAAAATAGGTCATGGTCACGAGGTCAAATTTGGTGGTACTAATAACCCAGATAGCAGACTGTTATTGGACCTTTGATGGGCCAACAATGCTCCTTATGTTGGGCCACCGTTTGTATTCAACATTGGGCCATCGGTAATTTGCTCATCGGCCCTTAATCAAACCAACGTGTTGGCTTATTGTTGGGCCAATGTAACAGTTAATATTGGGCCACTGTTGGGCCAATGTATTATTTCAATATTGGGCAAACGTCATTTTTGCACAATTGGGCCATTGTAAGCAGTTAATGTTGGGCCAACGGTAATTTGCTCATCGGCCCTTAATCAAACCAACTTGTTGGCTTATTGTTGGGCCAGTGTAACAGTTAATATTGGGCCACTGTCGGGCCAATGTATTTTTTCAATGTTGGGCAAACGTCATTTTTGTACATTTGGGCCATTGTAAGCAATTAATGTTGGGCCAACGGTAATTTGCTCATCGGCCCTTAATCAGACCAACTTGTTGGCTTATTGCTGGACCAACGAACGGATATTATTGAGCCATTGTTGGGCCAACGTTGGTTTGTATCTTATTGGCTCTCCATCATGACAACTCATTTGCTCTTCACTGGTTGGCCATTTGTCCTCAAAATTGACAAATATATATATTAAGGTTATACTAGTTTTGTAGTACAGTTTAATGGTAAAAGCCCTTTAATACTTTCTATATATGCTAGATTAATAGTTTAATACATATTCTCAATATATATCTCATAGCATTGATTAAAAAACTGAGGAAAAAGAAATCAAAATATAAAATTAAATTATAACATACTAGTATTTTATTGCTCAGTGCATGAAGAAAACATTAATAAAGAAATAAAAGTTGATGCTCACTTCGAGTGATACATGAAGGGTTACATGACTGTATACTCCCTCTCTGATGTAAATTTATGCACAAGTTCAGTAAATTGCAGGTATCAATAAGCAGGTCCAACGAATAAACAAAGCCCCCCTGTTCTTAAAATAATACTAAAATGAATCCCGTCATTTTGTTTACTTACACAAAAAAATGTTTCTGGCATCTGCATCGTGTTTGTAACCGACAAACAGACACAGAAAAGGGTAGAACTACAGGTTTGTCATATATAACAGAAAAAAGCTAGGCACTGCCACTTTCCATCTGATCCCTCTCTTAAGTCTTCTCTTCTCTCTCCCGAGTCCCCTCCTCTCCCTTCTTTTCTTCTCTGTCCGTTTCTTCCTCCCCCATCCCTGTCCTTGGCATACCTTAGCTATTCTTTGATTGTGTTCTGAATGTCTTTTTAGAATCTCCAGTAGCACTAAAATTGTAGTATTTGGTACTTAATACATTTGTTACTTTTCTCAGTAAAGAGTAAACATACGATTAAATTTACAAGTATATCACTATATGTTTAAGGTGTCAATTAAGGAATAACCGTCTATTTTTGTTTTATGGTGTTATTAAGTGATTAGCTTGCATGATGAAGGCATTTATGCATAACATTTCTACGCTTGATCATCAGCATCACCACAACGATTTTGATTCAATGTTGCCCCATATAAAATACATGTATAGAAAAGTCGTTACACTGAACAAATTTTAATTGAAAGAACCCAATTTATGTTTAGTACTGAATAAATTTAGTTTTAACTTCAACAAGTTCAACATTTTCAAAATGTTTGATCATGTGCTCGACGTTAAGTGTATATAAGTAAATTAAGTGGTAGACTTCGGAAATGTATTTTACTAGTTACACATTTCAATCTAAATAAGGGACAAATTATTTATTGTTTTAACTGTATTAAAACACATTTGTTATTTTATACTTTAATTTATTTTTCTTGTATAAAAACAAAACATTTAATCACTGATAATTTATTTTGTTTTGATAAATTATAAGAATTTTAACAAGCCTTGTAAATTCATTTTAGCTAGCTTGTACTTTCAAGTAGGATTGGTTGTAGATTTATTTTTGATTGTAGAGACGATCAGATTTGTTAATATACAGATTTGTAACAATTGAATGTTTATACACATTGGCCCAATGTTGGTCCAAAATATCGGGCCAACATTGGGCCAAGGAGCAAAATGACACTGGACCAACGTCATTTGCCAACATCGGCCCAATGTTCCAATTGACGTTTGTCAAACAATGTCGCATTCATTGGGTCAATGTTGGCGCAACGTTGGGCCAATATCTGTAGAAATAACACTCTACACTGGGCCAACGTTGGCCCAACATATCGGGCCAACATTGGGCCGATGAGCAAACTTAAATTGGGTCAATGTCATTTACCAACATTGGCCCGATGTAACTGATTACATTGGCCCAACGTTGGCCCAATGTTAGCATGCCATCTGGGGTACAGTGTTGACCCAACAGCACCTGGCCTCTGCACTTCCCCGTGTCTGCTTTGCGCAGATTGTACATGATATCGTTTAAAAACTAAACGTTAATTCAGCTGTGCCGAGGCAAACGTATTATAAATACTTACAAAGTGGATGCAGATATGCAAGGTATCAGTCTCATTACGCTCGCTCGTGTCAGATTAAAAATGGCGCGGATATTACAAGTAACCCGGTTGTTGTCTACCCATGATGCTCAGTCAGATTCATGGTATTTTGGGCCAACGTTGGGCCGATGCCAATCCCCAAACAAATATTTTCTCTCATGATAATAATTTTATGATATAATGCAAACAGTTAGCCCAACATTAGCGCACCATTATACATAACCAGCTATCGATATTCCATGTTGGGCCATTGTTGGTCCAATAAAGGTAACCCAACATAGATAATACAACCATAATGTAAGATTGGGCTAACGATGTTCTGCTATCTGGTTTATTACAAATAAAAATAAGCATAAACATAATTCAAAAAATAGAATAAAACACTCTTTGGTGCTGTGATCACTTAAGTGCAAAGTTAAAATGTTGAAAATATCATATCTAAACAAGAGCAGTCATCCAATGATAAGCATGGACATAGAAAGTCCTCTTAATTATTTCAGAATGTGCCAACGTTGTCCCAACGTAAAGCTCAGCAGCTTATTATAAAATTGACACCATCATTTAATTGGCAGTATAATAATTGGGCCTACGTTAGCCCTATATAAATATCCCATCTTTTAAACACCTAAACAAAATAACACTTGTGTGTATTACAAACATTGTGCCAATGTTGAGCCAACATACTACTACCAACTTGATAGGACACGTTCTTTAAGGGTGTATTAGAAACAATGAGCCAACGTTAGACCAACATAATACTATCAACTTGATAAGACATTTTCTTTAAGGGTGTATTAGAAACACTGGGCCAACGTTGGGCCAACATACTACTTGAACTTGATAAGGCACTTTCTTAAAGGGTGTATTACAAACAATGGGCCAACGTTGGGCCAACATATTACATGTACTACCAACTTGATAAGACACATTCTTTAAGGGTGTATTACAAACATCGGGCCAACGTTGGGCCAACATACTACTACCAACTTGTAAATACACTTTTCTTTAAGGGTGTATTATAAACATTGGTCCAACGTTGGACAAACACCAGGATCCTTCCTTCCTTGGGAACTAAAGTGAATGGAAGTTGCTTACGTTGGACCAACGTTGGGCCAACATAGGAATTCTGTCATGGTCAAGAAGGTTGACTTGGTAACATTGGTCCAACGTTGGCCCAACGTTATTCCCCCAACGCCAACCATACAACCTTTTACAAATGTTGGCCCAACATAGTCATGCTATCTGGGAAAAGAGAACTTGTCCCAAGGTATACTCTGTGAAATATTAAAATATCTTTCAACCACAAGAAATATTCCCTTATAAATCTTGCATTTACAAAATAGAAGCACGCAGGGGTAATAAGGAGGTAATGAAGAAGCTTGACAAAATCAGTGATATATTGTGACGTCATAGTAGGTGATGACGTCAATTTTAGAACACACTTTTTCGTAATATTGATATAAATTTAGAGAATTTAGCTTTAGAAAATGAGTACAAACGTGTAAACATTAAGAAATAAAATATTTTTATCTGTTTTATCTCTTTTTATGCTGCATCTGTCATTTTGATTAAAATCTACCACCGATTACGGCATATGTGTATATCAAGTAACTTAGGATCTTATCATGACAGTCAGCTATATACATAGAGGATATCTATATTGTGTGAATTGATATTGGCTTTATCCAACGAGTTGAAATGGTGTATATATTCGCGAGGTTTGCCGAGCGAATATACACCATTTGAACGAAATGGATAAAGCCAATATCAAATCACACAATTATAGATTTCCCGTGCAAAACTACATGAATGATTGCCAATTCAAGTTGATGACGTATAACTTGATGAGGTAGCACCGTTGATGTTGACATGCCTCGAAAAAAAGTAGATCGTGTTCAAAATTTAGAATTTTTGCTATCTGCGTCTTTGAAAACATCATGTGACAATTGCTGGAGCTT